ATTCCATCAACTTTGGCTGTACAATAGAAGCGTCAAATCTTTAATACAAAAAGTTTGGTTTAATCGGCGCGCGGCGGAAGTGAAATCAAAAAGTTCCAGATATTGAGAGCTAAGCTGAATCCGTCACTTCCAGAGTGAACAGACGTTTCAACAAGAAAACGCTTTTAAGTCACATAGCAAAGGTGTTTATGTCACTCGGGTGCTCCGTAAAGATTTAGATTAGAATGGGCGTCCCGCAGCGCAGCGTGTAAGATACAATGATTTCGTGATAAGCCGTCCTCTGCAAGAATGAGCTTTGTGATTGGATTCGGCTGAAATTACTTCCTTCACAGTAGATTGCATATAAACTGTTTTGACAGGTTTGACGTGAACGCTCTTAGATCAAACCTCTCGGGTGTCACATTACGTCATCGTTGAAGTATTAACGTCTTCGCTGTATTATTATTAGGAGCACCGGGTTTAATTTTGGATAAAATACATGAATGTGAATGACACATAAACGTACGTACTTAGATAATATGTATTTTGTGGAGTATTCAGTTTCAATGTATTCGAATATGCGATGAGATAATTATAACCTACTATTTTGGTCCTTTCTCATTCTATTTGGGATCAAAGTAATATTTATTTGATCAGAGAAACAAGTAGAGAACACTACCTTCTGCTCTAGGGTGCCTAAGAATTCTAAATACTCAATCGAGGAGTTACCTGATCAGCAAAAAACAGTATAAATTTTTTTATATAATAGTAGGAAGAAATGGTCCATTTATGACTTGATTCTTTTTAACTGGCTGATGATTATAAACATTTGGCTGGGCACACAGCGGTGTAGCGTCATGTTCCAAATTTGAAATACAATATTTGACGAGGTCATAAATTCTGTGAGCTTTGCTGAATTCGAAATTGCTCAAAAAATGCAATTATGGATGTTGTATAACTTGTTCAAAAGTTCAAAATTGTGGGCCATGCAATGGAGAGTGCGGTAAAATATTTTTCATCCCACCACCTCGGAAAGTGTAATTTTGCGCTTCGAAATCTGGCTGGAAAATTCTATTTTATTCGCTTGAGCGGCAAAGTAGATTTGAATTTAGAACATCACATATAATGAGTACTCAATATAATTGTAAATTCAAAACGTCATTAAACCTATTTAATGTAACCTCTATGGTGCCAAACAAGGACGTATAAAAAAGGCGGACAGAGTTTCGGCTAAGACAATACTGAGGCACCGTAATGGCGGCGGCTATTGATGAGTGAGTGAATTGTAGGGTTGCTAGGTTTTTACCAATAAAACACAGTAAAAACATGAAAATATTTTGATTGTTCAAAATTTTACTTTTTGCCCGACTGCGGAGGATAATGTTTTTCGAGCGTATGCATGCATGTATGTATGTATGTCCAATAATTTGGCACGCCCTACAGCCTGAACGTCTTGACGGATTTTGACATGCGAGGTGTCATTTGATTTGTCGTGATTGTGTGAGTGGCACTCGGTATATAAAAATTTCAAAAAATCAAAATAACAGATTTTATGCGCCAAAATGAAACATTTTGAAAAAAAAGTATAAGTATTTTTATAACCCGTCAAGCGAGGTATCAAAGTGAAGGGTTTTAAAATAATATTGACGTGACAACGTCTTAAATTAGGTTGCGGCTGGGAGTCACTTATGAAAAAGTGTAACGCTCGGTAACGTTACGATGAGTCTCTCGTGTTAAGTTTAAGTTTACATGTACAATGTTTTAGTAAACAAAATATATTTCTATAGTTAAAATTTGTGCAATTCTTATTTTCATTCAATTCCTTGTTCCTATTGTGCAATTTAATTATATTCATATCAATAAATATTCTACCGAGAAAAAGACGTTGTCACGTAAAATCTTCGCCCGTAAAACCGACTTTACAGGCAACCATTTTTAGAAAATATACAACTCGTGTAATTAAAAATAATGAAATTAAAATGTCGAAAATAAAAAATAATGTACTAAAAAGAAAAAAAACAAGTCCAGTAGTCTAGAATTCTGTTTAATAAGGAACAAAGTTACTTTAACAGTCGGGACTCATTAGAAATTCTAGAATGTATCGAATTTTCTCAATATTGGGTAAATCAACTAAATATAGATGTCCTGGCCTACATTCTCTTTCATATTTCTTAAAATAAACTAACACCCATTGAGTACTGTTTGTAATTGAGGAGTTCCATTGTTTTCCTCCGAAAGTACTCTTCAGATCTCCAGTAAATTAATATGCAGCCATCTCGCTAGTAAACTGATTAAAACAAAAAAAGAATCATCATGAACGGTCCACGAATCTCGGAGATCTTGAGCTTCAAAATGAAGACTAAAAATGACACTACTACTTAATTGTTTGGAAATCATTCATTTTCCAGTCATTTCTCCATACTACATTTTCTTTAGGAAATCTGATAAAAAAGAATAATAAATAATAGATTGAAGTTATTGTCAACCCAATTTCCCATATTTTAGGTAATATGGTTACATGAACATTGGCAACACTGGGCTTTAGACTAATCATTTTGTCCTTAGAATGAAAATTGAATTCGATTTCTAAAAACTGGAAAAAAGTGATTAAATAATTCATTTGCCTATGAAACGTGATTTTTGGATTTTTTTTCTTTCGGTCACTACGGTTTTTACACCATTTTACCACGCAAGACATCTTGTTTAACTTATTTTTATCTCCACGTAACGTGTCGGCTGCTTTGACGTTTGCACGCGTAATGGCTGACTATGGTGTGAATGTGTGTGTGCCGGCTTGTACGTATAGCGACCTGGCCGACTCTGAGCGACACAGTTTGTTGTTTACCGGGACTCTGTCCGCCTTTTTTTATACGTCCATGGTGCCAAATTTATGATTAGAACTTTTTAAATTGTGAAAAAATTTAAATTTGGAACCTTCTTGGTTTCTTTGTTTTATTTGCGTGCTTCGCGCCATTCTAGTTTTTCACGTTTTATTGCTTAATATAATTAACATAACCTAAAAACTGTACAAAAAAATCAACTAAAATGAGTGACATTAGCGACGATGAAGTTTATCTAACGCCAACTGAGTTAACTGAAACAGTTAATAATGCGCAAATGAGCCTTCTCCCTCAGCAATCACGAGAGAAGTATTTGAAACAGTACGATATATTTAACATGTGGCGACTAGCTAAAGGAGCAAAAACTTTCTCCGAAAACGTTTTGCTGGCATATTTTATAGAATTATCTGAGACCAAGAAAGCAAGCACGCTATGGAGTACGTATTCAATGCTAAAATTAACAATTAAGATGAAGAAAGACGTTCATATCGACACCTATTATAAATTAGTGGCATTTTTAAAAAGAGCCTCATCTGGTTATAAACCAAAAAAATCGAAGGTTTTCACAGCATCTGAAATTGCAAAGTTTATTAATGAAGCACCTGATTCCGTATATTTAGCGGCAAAAGTAAGTCAATACGTGTAATTTTTTGTTGTTGATAAAATTGTACATAGTACTTACAATATTTTTAATTTGATTAATTTATTTACGATTATAAATACTTCTTTTGTTACAGGTTGTTCTTATTATTGGTATAACCGGAGCATGTCGAACAAATGAACTTACACTACTTAATGTCAATAACGTATCAAAATATTCTCATAATTCTGATGAATTGCTATTAATTAATGTACTAAATACCAAGACAAAAAAAGACCGCAACTTCGTTATTCGCAAGGAATATGTAAACATTGTTCAGAAATATCAAGCTTTACGTCCTTCTAACACCCCAATTGAACGATTTTTTCTACAATATCGCAACGGAAAGTGTATCCGACAACCTATGGGTCAGAATAAAATTGGCAGTATTCCACGAGAAATAGCAACTTTTCTCGGACTTTTAGAACCCCCGTTATACACCGGTCACTGTTTTAGAAGAACCTCAGCCACACTTTTGGCCGAATCAGGGGCTGATCTTCTATCGCTTAAGCGCCATGGAGGCTGGAAGTCTAATTCGGTTGTAGAGGGATACATAGAGGATTCAATCCAAAGTAAATCAAAAATTTGTAATAGTATCGTGGAGGCCATAACGCTGAAAGAACCTCTGTCAGATTCTTGGTCTCGCCCTTCTACATCTAAAATGAGCCCCCATAAGATTGGAAACAATAGCCCTCTCTCGCCAACATTTACGCCAATAGAATCCAATGAATCGGCACAACTATTTAAAATTACTGATACGAGTAGTTTACCACAAAACAGCGCACAATTCACAAACACCAACATAACATTACCTAACAAAAATATTAAACTTAACATAAGTAACTGTAGCAACGTTACATTTAATATTTCTTAATTATTTTCTACTTCTTATTATTTTCTTCAATTTATAGATTATCTTAATGTGTTTTAATTGAAATAAAAATATTTTGTCATTATAAATTGTTTTCTTTTTCATTTTGTCATTTCCTCGCTGAGGTGGGATGAAAAGTTACGTATTGCACTCGAGTGGAAAGATTTTTCACCTTGTGCTCGTTTGTTTCCCTCGCTGACGCTCAGGATTCTAATTTAGAATCACTCGCTGCGCTCGTGATTCAACTTTAGAATCCTTCGCTTGCTCGGTCATCCAAATCGAGCACGCGGTTAAAAAGGAACTTTCCACTCTTGTATAATAAATAACTATTACCTCACGCGCCATGCGTATATTTTAATTGTCATTGTTCAAATAAAATTACTTTTGGGGTCTACGTACTTTAAACGGATAATAATTCCATAATAGGTATGTGATTTACTTTGTGCCGTTTTAGGAGATTTTGTAAGCAATATACTCATTAATCAATATTTTTGTATGGTGGTGTTATATTAAAGTGTTTATAACTGTTCTCTCTTTTTTACTTAAACAATTTTAAAGTTTGTCAGGTAACTCAAAATTCAAGGTGTATATAGCTCCACGGATATATGAGTAACATCCTTTCGAGCAATAACACCCTTTTATCTAGGAAAATTTTAACAAATTTTCTTACCTTCGTCCAAAGACAGTTGATCCCATATAGCGACCTTGGTGCCAGCTGGGTCGCTCAGTGCCACATACGCAAGCTCGTTGCGCACCAGTCTCAGATCATGGTCTAACGCCAGTATCCAGAAGGTTACTGTAACAAACACACATTGTTATTATATACAGTTTTATATCTTTTATAATATACTTATTAAATAGTGTAAACAACATTAACTTTTTTGATCTTTTGATGGAATTTTAACGTTTTTCATACTTCAATGCAGCGCGAGTGAAACGGCGAGTGTGAAGTGAAAAATGATTTTACAGTTTTACGAATGAAAAGTGTTGCCAAGGCATTTGTTATTTCATTTCGTTCTTTATAAAAACATCGAAGGCATTTTTTTATATTGAGTATAAATTGTTATATTGAGTGCACATGCAGCGTGGTTGAATGCCCAATAGTGACTAAAGCGATTTGTGATCATGCATCACAATTTAAGCGTATCACTTTTGAACCACGAGTGCCGTACCTTCCCTTTTTGTTTTAATCTAAGCTTTAAACCACGTCTACAGCCACCGTTGTCAGTAGTCATCTACCTACTACCTAGCTGCCCACCCATCTGCCTAGTTAGCAGCCTTGCTAACTAGTAACGTAAACGTTGTAACTTAAAAATTTACCACGTAACCTCCATCTACGTGGTAAATTTTCCTACAAAACCACGTTCCAAAAATATTGCCGTATCAACACCTACTACTACTTTTCAAACTAGCACGAACTTTTAGTACTTTTTTAGAGTAGTTCTAAATTATTAGTATCTTATGAAAGTTATTAACATTGTTTCATGAAATTATACAAAACAAAATCTTAAGAGGTTTCTAAACGATTAGTCCCTTCAATTCACTCCAAGTGAATGTCCATTGTCGAGCTAAGCTCACTTAAATAAGGCAAGTATTTCCATAAGAACAAGTTCCGAAGCATCGTAGTACATTTGAAGGGGAACAAATGTCTCGACAGTGGCTTAACCAGTTGTTAGAGAAATATATGGGCCTGTTTTGTAATTAATTACTGCGAATAACACCCCGGACTAAGTTGGACAATAAGGAGAACTTTGCCAACTAAGTTACGGTAAGGTTGTCCGAAGTTGTGGTATTGATGTTTTGGTGCAGACGAACTGATACGGGCGACTTTACGAATGTTAAAGTCTTTAGACTACTTGGAAGCTTCTGGCTTTGACCTCTTGATCTTCATGATCTATCTTAAATGAAATTAGCTACCTTAAAGGAAAAAATGCTGCCAGCCTATTGGACACCATTCCTGACGGCGGCACTGGGGATGACATTTGTATTTATTTAAGTAGGTAAGTTCTAAGATAATTATTTTTTAAAGGTTTTTTTAAACATTAAGTAGTTTTAAGCTTTTGTAATTTAATTATTTCTATGTAAATAACCAAAAAAATACTACCCCAGCGGTAATTTAGTCTTTTAAAACCAAAGCTAAACCAAGGAAATTCACCTCACAATAAGTGGGGGGCAGTGTAACAAGGAGCAAAGTGTAATATTCGGAATATCTATGTCCTTTTCTTATTTGCGTATATACTGTCTTGACGTGTTTTATTAGTTTTATAAGGTGCCATCTTTATTTTCTGTCATTAGACGTACTAATGGTTGATTTTGATCTAGAATACATAGATATTCCTCATGTTATACTGTGCTCCTTGTTACATTGTCACCCACTAGATCCCATATTGTTTTTCGACATTATTTTTGAAAATTAAAATAATGAACGTCTCATAAGTTCTTGATGTTGTTTACAGCGAACAAGTAAAACAATAACTAAATACCATTATAAATAATAACCATTCTGGTTTCGTTCCCAATACTTTCACCGTTACAGCTATACCTCTTTGGAATGCTTTGCCATTGAATATTTGCAGTGCTCGTAGTAAGTTAGAATTCAAAAAACTAGTTCGTGCACGCTTTCTGAAAACTTAATATTTCTCTAATCTTTAGTCATCTATATATCATCATATTTAGTTATTCATTACTAATGTAGTATATGTATACAATTATATGTGTAAGTTTATTATATATTTATGATATTTTGTTTATAAGTAATATATATTTATTGTTTTTATAGTATAGTATACTAAAGTTAAGTAGGATAATCTTTTCTTTCTAACTTTAGTAGCTCGCACTTTATCGACATAACATTCGTCTCCTACACTCTCACTGGTTGACTGGTAGAGAATTCCTATGGCATTAAGTTTGCCATTTACTTTAATTTGGTAAAGAAGAAAAAAAAATGTTCTTTTCAAACGAAAAATTTATTAACATTATGGCAATTAAAACAGACTATCAAAAGAAAAACTAGATTTTTTTCTTTAGATTTAAACATCTAGCAGTTAAAATGCTTAATATACATATTATATATATTGAAATCACAGCTATGCTAGTAAACTTTATAACATCTTACTACTCAGTAATTCAGTTCAAGATAAAATATTTAATGTTCACACCTTTTTATTATGTATTAAATTTGAGCGAATCAAAGTTTGGCAAAGATGCAAATTACAAAATGTTCGAGTGATCAGTAAATAGCCCAAATTGTACAATGATTTAAGATGGGAATTCAATTAAAAATTATTGTGTTCGCATTTAGAAAAGTATTCCAATATAATATTAATTTCACCTTACACAAAATATGTTTTAAGTAACTCGTTTCTCCAGGTTTACATTTATTTATTTTGCCGTCTCAAAATTATTCCAATGTATTTTTTTCCATTAAGAATATTTATTTATAACAAAACTTTATTTCTTCTCTTCATAACAATAGAATCATTATCTAAAACTAATATGAGAGTCTGGCGTGTGTACTGGGAGACCTGTGTTACAGATTACCAGACTCTACACTTCTGAACGGTCCATAAGCATTGCTAGCTATAGTTTTAATTAGCGAGATGCTAAACATGAGTTTTTTAACTCATTTTCACAAAGAGAAAAAAATAGAAACTAAAAAACGCGTGAGCGTTGTGGAAACACTCGGTTGGAACGAAATTAAAAATATTAACGTACAACCCACTAATCTGCACTGGGCCCGCGTGGCGAGTCATGGCCCAATCTCCCTATTCCATAAAAGTAGAATCTTACCTACTAATTCGTACTGAGGCTGCGTGGTGGGTTATGGACCATCCCCCGATTTCATCAAACTATTAAACCAAGTCCACAGCCACCGCCGTTAGGTCGCTCAACTAGCTGCTCATCTAGCTGCCTCGCTAGGTTGTGATAGTAATTGTTATTGTGTTAGTAAGGCTGGAAACAGTGCTCGACCGACCATACGCGCGTACGTACACTCAAAGCCAAAATGAATATTAATACAGAGCGCCTTATTACTGAAGTGCGGCTTCGTCCGGCAATATGGAATTTATCGTACGTATTTTATAAAGACCGTGATGCTAAAATAAGTCCTTGGCAAGAACTTTAAAACTGTAAAGAATTAATTACGCTAAAAACAGCGTGCATATATTATAACAGCAAAAGGTTTCATTTCTCTCGTGAATAGTACACAAGCGTTGCCATTCGCCGTCAGCGTAGCACTTAATGCATTTTCACAATCGACGGTCAGCGCTGACGGTCAGGACGTACCATCGATCGGTCGAGCACTGTTTCCAGCCTAAGAGTGTTGTGCACGAGTTTGAAAATGTACGTTTCATGTTCACTCACTCGTCTCTCCAGGCTTGTAGTGATGTCGAGCGGGTCTCACGATCACATCGCGCACCGGTCCCAGCAGGCGTATGACGCTGTGGCTCTTGGCTGTACACTCGTCGTTGCCGAGGCACCCGACGGTCGTGTGCAGGGTGCAGTGCGTCGCCGGGGAAGACGGAATCTTGAGGGGAATGATGCCGTAACCTGAAACAAAACAAAATCTGTTCACAGAGTTCCAAAACCATCAGTCAGCATATATGAAATTTTTTTTTGACGTGATAACTTTTTCTTAATCGATGATGATGACGTCATGTCACATTGTCAGGAGTTAGTTCAGCATTCCGCGGTGTGTCTGTGAGGTGAGGTCGAGAGGTTCCTTCGACCGCCCCCCCCGCCCCCCTCGCCTCTGACTCCTCTTCTAAACGTTTCGGATTATTTATTGGCTCCGTGGTCTGCACACTTAAAATAATTATTTAGAAAATTATTTTTATAATTTTTCTACTGCACTTAAATGTTTATAATTTAAATTTTTTAAGCATTTAACTGCTCGATGTTTAAATCTGAAGAAAATATTACTAGGAATAATTCCACGCGGATCAGGCAGCAGACGGGACTCGAACTCGCACCTTTCGCTATCCGGGCGAATGCACTGACCAATTATACTACCGCGGCCCTGACGGCCGTGTCGAATTCTTTATAGCATTTCTTAAGCTGCAAAACAGCACCATCTCTTCGCATTGTAGGTAACCCACAATGTCAAATGAATACCTTTACAAGTATTAAACATTTTGAAAGAAGAAATAGCAATTCTAGCTATAATTTTAAGTTTTTAAGCATGTAACTGCTCGATGTTTAAATCAGATGAAAATATTACTAGGAAAATTCCACGCGGACCAGGCAGTAGACGGGACTCGAACTCGCACCCTTCGTTATCCGCGCGAATGCACTAACTAAACCAATTATGCGACCGCGGCCCCGCCAGCTGTGACTTGCAGCTTAAGAAAGGCTAGTAAGAATTTGACACAGCCGTCAGGGCTTTAATGTGATCTTCTGTAAGGTGGAGGTTACTTCCCCTGACTGGCGCTCCAATTTGAGCTGATTATACGCTGTGCCCTACCTCTTATAAATTATAAATTGACTAAGCTTAATCAGATAACAATACAATTTTCAAACGGCTTTATAACGAGATGTATTTGATTTTCCATTATTCTTTGCTTTTCGCTTTTATTTTCAGGCACTGTGATCTCAAAATTCTGATGTAATTTAATTAGTCAACTCGAAAATAATACATTTTCGTTTCGAGCGACATCAACCACTTCTCTTCGTAACTGACAAAAGTTATAAAACAAATGACGAAACTTATAAATCGGCGATGGCTTCGTAAATGGGCAAACACGATTTGAAATGAAATCATCGCTTCGCTTAAAGTTTAACAAGAGCGAGAAGATTTAGACTGATATCGGCAATAAAAGCTCTTGGACCGCCTCCAAATGGGGGTGAGATGTTAAAGAAATACCATCAGCTCGAGAACTTTTAAATCTAGAAACTATATGAGGTGAGCTTTGCGTTATTACGTCATTACTCTTTCAAGTAGAACGACGGAATTAAAAGTCCCAGTTTGGCAATAGTTGGTAGTTTGGAAAACAGTGACCAAATCTAACGCAATCGTAAGCCCTTGTTGTGATATCGGTCGATAGTTTGAGAATTATTGGTCAATTTTATGAAAAACGATGATGATAAATGTATCATTTTCCGTCATGATAAATGTATTATTTTGCGTTATGATAGAAGTATCATGACGCAAAATGTTTTAATAGAGATTCTCATTAGAAAGAAATAACACCAGTTAGAGGACTTTTAAAACTAGAAACTATATGAGGTGACGGTTCTTTTATTACGTCTATCTCTTTCTACTAGGATGACGCAATTATAAGTCCCTGTTTGGTAATTTCAGTTGGCAGGTAGTTTGGGAAACATGGGCCAATTCTATCAATAACGACCGATGCATTTATTTTAGACGCAATATCCTTTTTTTAGAGAATAACATCAGTAACTTTTGCATCGGTTTAAAATTGACATATAATCCTTACTATATCTTAGTCTTTCAGCACTTAAATTGAGATGAATTAACACAAGCATAACAATTTTCGTTATTCAACGAAAAAAACTATTTTTTTATCTTTATTTGAAAAAGGCAATCGAGAGAAAATACGTACTCGATACCTTATCGAATACTTAAATTACAACAACTTCAAAACATTAAAATAAAATGACTACTCTTAAACCTTAACAACATGGCTTTAAAACATTTCGAGATTATCATGAATGTTTACGATTATACTTGAATTATTTAAATTAACTTCTTATTAATTCCGCTGGCTCAAGAATAAATTACAAAAGTTTCGTAATAAGCCGGTCGCAAGCACTTTCTAAATGGAGTACTAACCGCGCCTTCCCGCAATTCAGAAATGATATTTGGGGATTCGGGGCTGCTACGGCGTAGAGCGCATCTACGGCTCAAGCGCTACGCAGCAAGGCATCGTAGCACTTGTAGCAATATACAGAACAATACAATATAATGTAGTGCGTATACTGTGTTTTTTATGATTTGTGGCTCGCTTACACTTCGTCGTCAGCCGTCGGTGTACGAAAGATATGAGGTCATATGGCCTTTTGTTGTGGGGCTCAGCTGCTAATATAGAAAGTACTTTCGTACTGCAAAAGAGAGCTGTTCGCGCCATCTATAATTTAAAGGCAAGAGAATCTCTTAGAGAAAAATTTAAAGAAATTAATATTTTAACACTGGCATCGCAATACATTTAAGAAAATATAATATATGTAAGAAAAAACTATGACGCGTTTGCAAAAAAAAAGTCAAACCCATAACTTTAACACGAGATTTAAAAACAAGCTTGCCGTTCCATGTTTCAGACTCCAAAATTCAAGAGGTTCATGTCTGGGACATAGTATTGCATTGTTTAACAAAGTTCCCCAAGATCTGATTGAGCTTCCACTAACCAAATTTAAATTTCAGATAAAGAATACTCTTATAAATAAGGGCTATAACAAAGTTAATGATTATCTAAATGATCGTAATGCATGGGCATAGTGTTTCTTGTAATTTGTTATTTGATGGGTATTAGCCAGTTTTTGTAACAGTAATATGATACCTATCTAATGCTGCTTCCTATATACTAAATATAAAATTGATTATAACTATATCTATATCCTAAATGATGTAATGTAAGGTGACTTCAGAAGTATCTCTGAAGTAATTTTTCAACTTGACGACTCTGTATATATCAATACAGGGAGAAAAAAGCAGCCCTTGCTGAGTTTCTTGCCAGTTTTTCTCAGTACAAGGTCTCCCACCGTAGTTTTGTGAACCGATGGCGTAGCTTCTTGACCTTTACTGGTGCTTGTAATAGCCTAGACTGAATAAATGACTTTTCATTTCATTATTCGAATTCGGGCACCCGAAGCAATACTTACACTGGAATACGAGCTGGTGTCGGGTAACCAAAACGAAAACTATCCGACTACGAGCGTAAACTAGTTGATATGTCTGTTACGACCTTTAAGAGAGTAACCTAGTTCAAGTTCAAACAACATCATAATTCAAAAGAAACAAAACTGAACAAAAGAGGATCTATACTTTCAAACTTTTCGCGCGAAGAAATATAGAGGTAGGTATTCGACTTTCACGCTTGTTCGACGAAATAATAATCCCAATCAAAGTGTCTGAGCAAAGCGCCGAAACAAAAGAAGCACGCTTAATCCCAGAGCCCGGTGAGAGCGCGTAATTTGATTACCTCAGATATCTCGCCCCCGTGCTTCAATCCCGTTCCCTATGCGACAAACCTACTCTGAAATAACCCAATTTCGCTCCCGGAAAGCACTAAATCTACCTAAAGACACGCGTTTAGGGATCATATTCGCGGAGTGATTGTTTCACCAGCCGTTGGGTTTGTCGCCATAATCACTCATTCGTTTATTCTCATTCGGAATATTGGAAGTAATTAAAATAACGAGGGCAATGAAATTTTCTAAGCGCCGCTATTTCTGTCACTTCAAAGTGTTCAGGATTATAGGTGTATTGAATGCCTAAATTTGCTTGAAGTTATTACGATGTAATAATAACAATTTGAGAATGTTTTCGTAAAGTAATTGTATAAAATGACCACAGTTACACACAAATTACTCTAATTACTTTTAGAAGCTTTCAATGGGAAATTGTTTGGTACATAAGAAGCTTTCAGTGCTGAATTGTGTGACCTTATTATGGGCTGAGAATATTCATCAATTTTCAATTCAAACTGAAGTTTTTTTCAGATTCTTGTTGAAGTGATAACTTCTTTAGCGACGTTGTACACTTTTTGTATAGGTAAAAAATGTTAAACTCACGCCAGGACACGTGGCGTAAGACGAAAACAGTAAAATTGGAAAGGTTGATGACTTTCAATATGTTGGACTAAACATAGTTGTATTTTATTTTATAGTATTACAATAATAAGTCTGTATCTAGGACGTCCAGGTGGCAGCTTTATTGCGAAGAAAATGCATTTTTTTACAATAGATGTCGCTAGGTGCACTTAAGTGTGATTCATGTGAGTTGATTTTTTTACAATAGATGTCGCTAGGTGCGCTTAAATGTGATTTATGTAAGTTGATTTTTTTGAGAGATAACCTGTTTAATGTAATATAAATTGTCATGTTTGTGTACGATAGCCCAATAAATAAATAATGTATTCCACCACATAAATGATAGTACTTTTGTACTGATAATTAAAGCAATTCGTGCAAAATTATTCCCTAACCATTCCAAAAATATCAAAAATGCACAATATTAATATTCAAGTTTTCACTTCTGCCGGCACTCCCGGAGTGCAACCCGTCGTTTTCTTGTAAGGTGACTAAACACGAGTAGAATAGAAAGTTTTCACACAATTTTTGTATGAATACAGTTACAGAAAAGTCTATCTTTTATGTGGTTGTAAGAAAAAGTTTATCATTTAACTTGTTTCACCTGTCACTGCTAGTAAAACTTAGCTGTATCTTTGGAACTTGAAACAGACCCATGGAAGTCTACAAATTTCGATCAATTTCCAACATGTAAGATTTACGTGTACACCAAGCAAGCTCAGCTCAACACATCGGTGGCTTCACGGCTTCATTAGCCGTCGCGATTAATTAGTTGCGCAGTA